CTCACAGGAATACGTTTTAGTAGCAGAAGGAGGTGTTTTGTGGACTTATGGTAGCAAAGGGGTGTTGGAGGAACAGGAAGGAAGCTCTGCAGATAATACTTCCCTAAAACTGACAATGTGTTAGTAAAAGGTTATCAAAAATGTTACCATATACATCAATAAGTAATATTTCTACATAATAAATTAAATAGATTTGAATAAAGAAAATAGCTCTACTTTTCCTTTAACTTGTAATCAGTTTGTAAAAAAAAAAGCCTTTTATTGTTTCTGTACCACTAATCAGCTGGTAAAATAAATTTAATTTATTTATTTTACATTTCTGCTTATTTTTCACTGGCTCGCTTTATTTTCAACTTTTCCTATGTTTTTGCACACTTGGCGCCACACTGGGGCCTTGTTCCTTTTGTTTTTTACAACATAACTGCACAACCTGTTTACAGTACAGTTCATACATTTTACTATTACTCATCTGAGCTCATCAGAGTGGGGAAACGTGTGGCTGGCAGGTGTAAGTTGACAGGCAGGAGGGCAGGAAGGGGTTAGCATACACAATGCACATATATGCACATCATTACATGACATGCGGAATTCACAAATAATCTGCCTTGAAACGTTTACTACTATTGAGGTTGAAACTACAATCTGGAAAAGACTGATTGGAGGTTAACAAACAAGTATAAAACTTTATATTGTTTTATTTTTACATTTTGATTGAATTTTTTATAAAACAAATTTAAATATCAGTCAAATTATCTACCAGTAAAGCTAAATGGGATTTTAAGTGGTGGCAGTACATTTGTAATACAGTAATCTACATAGACCTTTGCATTTTTGATCAGCTACCACTATTACAGAGCCAATTTCATCAATATGTGTTATTTGCTAGACTGATATAGCTGATAGTAGGAAATAGTGTTCACGTTTTATTTTGATTTAGATATTAAAATATATTTATCTGCTTTTTGTTGAAGAACCTCAGACTTGGTCTATGTGTTGCAAAACAGCAATACAAATACATAGATGTATAAAAACACACAAACAGTTCCTGAAATCATATTTCTGTCATTTTGTTTCTGTATTTGCAGACGCAATCAAAACTACACCAACATCCTGCGATTTCTGAACCTTACAGATAAGAAGCTCAATCCATTTGACATCACACATCAGTTCACACACCTCTTCTGGTTTGGTGATTTGAACTACCGTGTTGAATTGCCTTCTTCAGTAAGTCAGAATCAGACTCAGAATTGGGTTTATTGCTAAGTAGGTTTTCACATACTAGGAATTTACCAAGGTAAATTGGTGCATAACAATTCACATAGACAACTATAAGTAAAGATAAAAAGAGAGACAATAAAAGTAATTAGAAGTTGTGAAGAATGCAGCTTGCTGTATAGAAATGACACAAAAACAGATATATGATGTAACATACTGTATGTATTTGGCATCAAATGAATTACTGATTTAACATTTCACACAGCTTATAAAACTTCTTAATAACGACATGCAGATTCATGAGCTTTCTATATACATTTGATGAGATTTGTCTTGTCATTGCTGTAATTCAGTGAGCTGTGCATAAAAGAGCTGGTTGTCAAGTGTCTGAGCTCTCAGCTGCTAACACTTTAAAGCAGGAAAAGTCCCTCTACTTTGCACTGTTTCCCTTCACAGGATGCTGAGAACATTGTGACAAAGATCAAACAGCAGCAATACCAGGAACTCCTCGGTAAAGACCAGCTCTCTATGGAGAGGAATGATGGGAAGGTCTTTTTGCATTTCGGTGAGTACATGGAGAATATTGATCAATACAATACAGAATATGATGTATGTGATTATGTACACCAACTCTGTTCTGTCCATTGTCTGCTGCATTCATTAATTGTCAGCATAAATTAAAAAAAAATCTAATTAATTTTATTTTGATTGTAGATGAAGAGGAAATCACGTTTGCACCCACATATCGCTTTGAAAGAGACACGCGAGAGAAGTATGCCTACACAAAGGCCAAAGCCACAGGGGTAAGCTAATGTTTAGTCAGATGTCTTTTCCCTGTATGGCTCCTGTCAGTCACCACAGTGCACAAACCCTTAAAAGCAACAGTTTACACTAACAAAGCCAAGATTAAAATTATTAGTAAAATGTTATGTAGATATAACCAAGGGTGTAATTCCTGCTGGGAATTCACTTCTCAAACTCTTTTTTTTTTTCTGTCCCTATCACTGTTAAAGTTTCAATTTGATTAACTTCCTAAAATCTCTCCTCTGACTGTTTAGCTGCCAAAATCTAGATGGAGATGGAGCTGATAAAAATGTTGATACACTTATTATAGGTATTTGTTAGTTAGCGCTCACAGGAATACGTTTTAGTAG